TGGGTGGGAAAGGGGCGGGATGCAGTGATGTCGCTGACCTTATATGGCTACATGCCTATACTGGGTAAGTGACATTTACCATATATGGCTGTGGCCATATACAGACACTCCTTGGTTCACGATGGGGTTACGTTCTAATAAACCTTTTTTAACATGACCATATCGTAAACCGAGGAGTGTACTGTACTGCCGCGGTCAGCAGCAAATGGTACACAATGGAGAGCACTAGCCAGACTGCTGGCAGCAGGCTGACTATTGAAACCCCACTCACTAAGAGGAGGAGTGGACCTGAGAGAGAACGTTTCCTCTCAGGTCCGCTACTCTGCTCAGTGGGCGGGTGCAATAGCCAGCCTGCTATTGCAATTTGAAATAGCCAATAGCAGTCTGGCTATTGCTCCTGGCTGTTCACATTCACCTGCCGGCTGCAGAATCTAGCTGGCAAGTGAATGGGGAAGCACAGCGCCTTGGGTATGATTGCTTGAGAGTTACTATTAACTCTCAAGCAACCAGAAACTACAGTTATCCGGCACCTACTGATCCCGTGGGTGCCAAATAACTGGGAGTTTACTGTACAGTAAACTGCACTGTAAATGTGAAAGATCGTAACTCAGACGATCGCAACTTGAGGAGCATCTGTAAGTTGAAAGACATCAGAACAAGCATTTTGCCACTTTGTGTACATGTAGCTGCGGGGTGGTGAATGCTAATTACGTGGAAGTGCCCATGTCAATTCCTTGTTCAGAGGGGCTCAGGTTCGGACCTGTTTCAGTCTGAGCCTAAGCTCATTCCTATCCACAATATAAGATGACCATTGAATGTATAGGTACAATCCAACTGCATCTCTGACATGTAGAATGTACACTCACTGGCCACTTTATTAGGTACACCTGTTCGTCTACTGATTAACGTAAATATCTAATCATCCAATCAAATGGCAGCAACACAATGCATTTGGCCATGTAGACATGGTCAGACGATCTGCTGAAGTTCAAACTGAACATCAGAATGGGGAAGAAAAGGGACTTTGAAAGTGGCATGATTGTTGGTCCTATAAGGGCTGGTCTGAGTATTTGAAAAACTGCTGATCTACTGGGATTTTCATACACAACCATCTCTCGGGTTTACAGAGAATGGTCTGAAAAAGAGAAAATATCCAGTGAGCGGCAGTTCTCTAAACAAAAATGTCTTGTTGATGTCAGAGGAGAATGGGCAGACTGTTACAACCAAGGTATGCAGAATACCATCTCTGAACACACAACACATTGAACCTTGAAGCAGAAGACCACACCGTGTGCTGCTCCTGTCAGCTAAGAACAGGAAACTGAGCATACAAAGAGCTCATCAAAATTGTACAAAAGAAGACTGGAAAATGTTGCCTGGCCTGATGAGTCTCGATTTCTGCTGCTACATTCAAATGGTCAGAATTTGGCATAAACGGCATGAAAGCATGGATCCATCCTGTCTTTTATAAACAGTTCAGGCTCGTGGTGGTGGTGGAATGATGTGGGTGATATTTTCTTGCAGTTGCCATGGTGCTGCACATGTGATCAGTTATAGTACCAGCCATGTGAAGGCTTGAAAGTTTGGTTGACTGTTAAAATAAGCACGCAGGAAATCTTGACAGTTTGCATGCCTTGAAAATCTAGGTTTGTTGTCCAAAAGCTCACTCCAAAAGGACAGAAAGGGTGCTGTAAGTGTGCCGCTCTGATGGTCACAGGTCATGCCTTGAAAGTACCGTATTTTGCGCTCTATAAGGCGCTCCGGACGATAGGACGCAGGGCTTCTGTGACAGAAGCTGCAGTTAGTGACCGCTGAGACGGGTGGCGCTGTCTCAGTAATCAAGGGGCTCTATGGGGGACCGTGGTCACGATCCCCCAGAGGAGCGGGGGACCCCGAAAACCACGGCGGGGGCAGACACGATCGCCGCCGGCGCTTGATTTAATACAAGTGATCTAGTTAGATCACTTGTATTAAACGAGCAGCGGCTCCCACTGTACATTCAGCTCTGCTCGTCAGAAGCAGGGCTGAATGTACAAAAAACTACTCGCCCGACGCCCGTAACTGCATGTCCCGGGCGTCGGGCGATAGGTATTCGTTCCATAAGACGTAGGAAAATTTTCCCCCTACTTTTGGGGGAAAAAAAGTGCGTCTTATGGAGCGAAAAATACGGTAACTGTTTTGGAGGTAGTTAAATTGGTGGGTAAAGATCCTCTTTAAGATTCCATTGGAAGGACCTTGTTTAACCATATAATGGAGGACTAGCCGTTCAAACTCAGGTCTGAGACAGTTACACAAGCATAAATTATGTTTTACATTTTGTGGATGAAAAAATAAGAATATAACCCCTTTAGTGACGTCAGCTTGGTGGGCTGGACAAAAAAAAAAATAGGAGCAGATTCCTCCATCAATGCTACAAGCGCGTTGATCGAGGAATCCCCGCCGTTTCTTTTGTGGCTGCCGGCTCTATTCATATGAAGATTTTCCAATTGGCTCCTTCGATCACCTAATCGAGGGATGCCAGACAAAAGCGGCACCCACTGTGCGAATTTCACACAGTGTATGGCCACCTGTAGTGTTCAATGTCAACATACTGTATATATCTTACTCTAGTTATTATTATTATACAGGATTTATATAGCGCCAACAGTTTGCGTAGCGCTTTACAATATAAGGCCCCGTTCACATATAGTGAATTGTCGCGCGATTTCCGCCGCGATATCGCGCATTTTTGCCGCGCGATATCGCGAGAAGTCGCCGGCCAATGTTATTCAATGGAGCTGTCTTAACTCCGTCGCTCGTCGCAAGTCGCTTCTACCGGACCCTTTTTTCGGCGGATTTTGCGCGATTTTGCTTTTTTTCTATGGAGCCCGACGGGGAAGGTCGCGCTACCGTCGCTGGATCGTCGCTGGAACGTCGCGCTATCCCGGCCGTGCGGATCCGCTGCAAAAGGTATGTCGCTATATGTGAACGGGGCCTAAGGAAGACATTACAATCACAATACAAATCAAGACAAGATGGTAAGGAGGGCCCTGCCCCTGAGGGCTTACAATCTTAAAGGGAGGGGCAAGTGATACATGAGGAGGTAGCTGTGTGGGGATGAATTGTTTAATAGTTTAATGGGATACTGTAACAACTCCAAGTGGAAAAAAAGTGGAGAACAAGGTTATAGTGCAATAATCAAGTTCGGATCTTCAATACTCCATAGAACAATAACAACAAACAGATTGTTATATATGCTATATGACAGGGTCTGAAAATGGTGATCGCTAATGACGGTCAGTGTCCCGCTGAGCACTGAAGGACGGAACAGTATCTTCTGTCCTCTTCAGCTGCCCAAAGCCATCTCCGCTCCCAGCTTCTTGGCCCCTTCCAGCTCCGCCCCAACTCCTTCCAGTTCCACCTCATAGCTCTGCTTCTAGGCTCCCTGCTTTGACTCCGGCTCCTCCTGCCAGCTCCACTCCTGGCTGTGTCTCCTGACTTCACCTCCCAGCTAAGGTACTCCAAAGACACATGTGACACTCCGATGGGGCAGCCAGTGTAAGGGGGCACTCCGATGGGGCCAGCCAGTGTAAGGGAAAGGTAGAAATGTCACCAGCACACCAGAACTCTTTTAGCATAGCAGAATGTTCATTTATTTGAAGTGCCTTGTCATATAAACAAGCGCTTTCGGGGCCGCGCAGGGTCCCCTTATCAGGCTTAGCATTGACGTCAACCTGTGCAGACTTGAAAGCGCTTGTTTATATGACAAGGAACTTCAAATAAATGAACATTCTGCTATGCTAAAAGAGTTCTGGTGTGCTGGTGACATTTCTACCTTTTCTGATATTTGCGGCGCCATCCGCAGTCACTGCAAGCCCCCCCCCCTCCATTACAAGGGATTTTTGGGAAGGAGTGCAGCAAGGCAAGGAAAAGTATCTACAGCCAGTGTAAGGGGGGCACTCCGATGGGAACGGCCAGTGTAAGGGGGCACTCCGATGGGAATGGCCAGTGTAAGGGGGCACTCCGGTGGGAACGGCCAGTGTAAGGGGGCACTCCGGTGGGAACAACTAATTATTATTTGCCCCCTTTGGAGTGCCCCCAATACATTGGTTGCCCCATCCCACTGCCCCCTTACTTTTGCAGTTAATGTAAGGGGGCACTCTGATAGGTACAGCCAATGAAAAGGTGCACTCTAATGGGGACACTCTGGGGCAATGTAAGGGGGCACTCTGATGGGTACAGCCAATGTAAAGGTGCTCTCTGATGGGGACACTCTGGGGCAATGTAAGGGGGCACAGCCAATGTAAAGGTGCACTCTCATGGGGACACTCTGGGGCAATGTAAGTGAGCACTCTGATGGGTACAGCCAATGTAAAGGTGCACTCTGACAGGGACACTCTGGGGCAAAGTAAGGGGCAGACTGATAGATGCTATACTTTCTATACTATGTATACAAAACAATCTGAAGTTACTCACTGTATGTGCAATGTAATAAGCCCATTTCTGGTCAGTCTTTCTTCACCTCCACTGACCAGGAGCCTAAACTGCTTCCCTCCAGCATTAACCCTTCTGCTCCCTGCCAGTCAGACAATACTGACCTGGTTGTCTCTCAGGCTGACCTGGAGGCGGAGGGACAAACGTCTTTATTAATATAGCTCCTCTTCTTCCTGGTTCAAATCCTGCGCCTGAGGAAGGGGCGGGCCGGGGGTGTTACTGAGCGCTGCAGAACTACTGGGCAGGAGAGAGAGGCGGAGCAGCTGCAACAGTGCTAGTCGCAAGTCCCGCCCCCTCATTCGTGTAGAGGAGAGTACTGAATGTCTGCAAGCTCGATTTGCGCATGCGCAATGTGCTTTGACCGACAGTTCAGGGTTGATTTTTTTCTACTGACTCTTCTTCCGTCCACGAACGGGAGCAAAAATACCGATTTTTACGGACAGTGGTCAACCTGCCTTCCAAACAAATTATTGTTTGCATTAACTGCCAGCCAGAACACTCCTATACAACAAATGCGTCAGGCAGCTTCATGAACAGCCCTATCTAGAGGGGTCCTTGCAAAGACTGGCAATACTTTAGACGACCCACGCTCCTCATTGTAACGCGACGACGTCATGGCGCGACGTGCCGTGCGTCGCTAGGCAGCTCATCTGGTAGGAGCTTTGCTGTGGCCGAGGCAGTCGGGAGGAGGCGACCATGGCGGACGTACTGAGCGTTCTGCGTCAGTACAATATCCAGAAGAAAGAAATTAATGTTAAAGGCGATGAAGTTATATTTGGGGAGTTCTCCTGGCCCAAAAATGTCAAGACGAATTATGTTATCTGGGGGTGAGTAGTCGGGGATCGCTGGGGTTTACAGTGAGCAACCTGCATTGGTAGTTGTCATGTGTTGTTAAGTGTGCGTTCTAAAAGTGTGCCTTCTAAAAGTCCCCCTTGAGGGGACTTTTAGAAGATTGGAGCAGACAGAATCGGGACCATATGTCCATGGCATCCAATCGGCTTCTAGCTTTCATTTTTAAAGCTTAGCTTTACAAGCTGAAGAACGAAGCTGATTGGTTACTATGCACAGCTGCTCCAGTATTAGTACATTCCTCTATCCTTTATATGTTCTCCATGGTGGTTGTCAGCTGTGTATATGAGATTTAAACTGTGCCAAGCAGACATTAAGAGCAGGTTCACACCAACCTTGGATTGCAATTGTAAGTCATTGGGTGATCTGTTGTCATGCAATTGTACTTTTTGTTTCCTGCCGATCCATTGCGATCTGTTTTATAATGGATGCTAATGCAAGGGCACTGAAAAGTGAATGGGGTTAGTTCACACTGTTTTTTTTTTTTTTTTCCTTCCACTTCGATGTAACACAACGGAGCAGAGCGCTGTGACCTGGACCCATTCACACCCAGTAATTGTTTGGGTTACTTTCCATTGACAGCCGTTTGACATCTGTTGAAAAATGTCTTCCTCTTCTGCTGTCCAGGAACATGAAATGAGTCTGTAGCTAACATCAACAGCTCTAGTTTCTGGAAAGGTGGATGGAGGAATCTCCCACTGGGCCAAGCCTCAGTATCTTGCTAGTCGGCCCCACTGGCTCTCAAAATACCTGAACAATCTGATTGGATGCTGGCATTATTCAGGTAGTTTGAGAGCCAGCTAGCAAGATACTGCAGCTTGGCCCAGTGGGAGATTCCTCCATCCACACAGTTTAGCGTAGATGGGAGGAATCTGTTGCACTTTTTCCATCTGACCATAGAAAATCTGCAGATAATCTATAGGTGTATGGCCAGTTTAAGTGCTCATGCTTTTCTGTGTTTTAGTTGTTTGGAATGCAGGTCAGCAATATTCCATTGTCTCTGGGTAAAAAAAAAAAAAAAATGTCCTCTTGCAGTGGGGCTAGCCTGGCATTGCCGGGGTTCACTGCTCATTGTTGTCTGCGTGAGCTGTATAAAGGTCTTTTACTTACCTGATCTCCACTCCCCCAACAGTCAGCATTCATCTCTCTTCCCCTCCAGCTTGTGAACTGTCCCATTGACGTCCTCGTATATAATACAGGGCTATGTGCCCTATGTTATTTGTGATGACATCAATGGGTGCCTGTGGGAGCGAGCATTGGGTAAGTAAAAATGCTTTGCACAGGTCCCCGAGACAAAAACAAACAAGGCTTAGTCCTACTGCAAGGGTATTGTTTTTTCTCTGGGGACAGACTAAGCAGCAGTTTAAAGTAGGGATGTGACGATACTAGTATTGGTATAGGGGCCGATACCAGGCATTTTCACGAGTACTTGTACTCGTGAAAATGCCCCGATTCTTAAGGCAGATACCAAGTTCCTGCGCTTGTGGGGACCTCGGCAGCCTGCTGGGTTCCTGTATATAGCTGTACATGGCACTGCCTGTCCAGTTCTCTATCTCCTCCTCCATCCCTGCACAGTCATGGACAGCCCCGAGTGCGCAACTACTGCCCCAGGGCTAGAGGCTGGGGGTCCCTGTTGCACACTGACTGGGAGGACTGGACTGGTGGATGGATGCAGGTTGGGGGGGCCCAGCAGCACAGATGGCCGGACTAGACGTGGGGGAGGCCAGGTCCCGACATCGCTGGTGAGGTGGAGTGCCCTCAGAGCCACTGCAGATGTCCACGTTGCCCGGGTGAGATCGACACACAGCCTGGTGAGAGGAATTCTGCTTTGGGGACATGTATTCGCAGAACACATGCTCCCAAAGCAGAATACTATTCTGCCTTGGGGACATGTGTTCTGCTGTGGGGACATCCGTAATTAGCCCGGGTGAGAAATTGCCCTAAAATCAACAGTCTGTATTGTTTTAGAAAAAAATGTCATCTCCCTTTTAGAAAAAGTATCGGTAATTGGTTTCGGCAAGTACATGAGGGACAGTACTTGGTCTTAAGAAAGTGGTATCGGGACATCCCTAGTTTAAAGGCTGTTTTACTTTTTTTGCATTGCTCTGCGTTTCTTTGGAAAACACAGTGTTTGACCAGAAAGGGTTGCCTTTGCCCTGGTTTGCCTTCAAAATAGAAGGTTTATAAAATGTCATTACAAGACATCTCTAAAAGTGTCTTTGTTGTTATTTTGAAGATAAAGTTCCTCTTTAAAACTGGCCATTCACCTTACAATTTATCTGCAGATTTTCTGTGGATGATGGGAAAGGTGCCACAGATTCCTCCAGCTACACTTACCTGTGTGGATGGAGTAATCTCCACCTGGGCCAATCTGTTGCACTTTTTCCATCTGACCACAGAAAATCTGCAGGTAATTGTAAGGTGTATGGGCACCTTTTTAGTGTGATACCACAAGCTTATTTTTGCAATTTTACACCAATTTGAATTGTGTTATTGGAATTTTGGTTTTGTGGCTATATTTTTAATGGATGTGTATAGTTTGAACCCATTGGTTGCTGGGACAGTTAGTAAAAGGTATCTATGGGCCAAACCAAACATGGTTTTGTTTTTTTTGTTTTTTTCTTTTAGGTAGTGAAGGTTAAGAATTGTGCTTTTATGTTGCTCTGCATTTTTTGGATTCAAATGGAATATGCAATGTTTGACAGCAAAAGGCTGCATTTGACCTGCTTTCCTGAACAAAAGCAGCTTATTAGGACCTGCTACGCCCATGGAACCGCAGCGCAATGCAAAGCAGGTCAAATGCAGGCTCTGAACTGGCATGTGCAACGTGTATGTTTATCTTGATAAAACTAGACTTCCAATGTTTCACTTACTGCGTTCATTAGAATTACCTTTTTGATCCTCTCAACCATTCACACTTGTGGTCAGTTTGCGTGTCGGGGCTTCCCCTTCAGAGAGCTTGAGTCCATTGGTTGCTGAGACAGTTAACGTAAGAGAATCCTATGATCCGTTTTCATTTCTCTGCACCATTGAGGAGGTTTCTCTCTTTACCTTCTGTCCTGCAGACACAAAAAGGAAGTGAGAGGAAATCTCTTCAAAATTGTCATCAGAACAGGCGTCCCTAGTGGAAGATTCTCAGTCACCTCCTGTTCTGGGGACAGCTGTACATTTATGTATCTCCTGTTTTCATTGACCATGGTCACAAAGACAAAAAGAGGGGATGACCAGAATAGTGCTTTGATGAGCAGTACTGTATACTTGTGCTAAATGCCATTTAAAGTATGTGTAAACTCTCATAAAAGCTTTTACATGTTAAAGTGTATCTAAACCCCAAAGCAAAAATGTATTGCAGCTTACCAATCATTCATGTGTTGGCTGCATCATTTTTGTAGACTTCTTTTTTTGTACCCTTAGTTCCACCTGGTGATCCAGTCAGTCTGTTATTTTTTCAACTTCCTTTAACAGGCCTAGCTGTCCAGCGAAGTGGCAGATAGAGGGTTGAGACAAACCATTTAACACGGACAGGGGTGCTTACAACGGTCAGCTTTTAGTCGTTTGTGTAAAACCTTTATCCCAAAAAGAAAACAAATTTGTTGCTGTAACTGCTTAAGTTATTAGAGTACAGATTTAATTTGTTAGTAATCTAAATCTGCCTTCTCCATAGTGTGACAATGCAGCTGTTCAAGGTTGGCTCCACTGCTCTTCCATAGTGTTGCCACCCTAAGGCCTCATTCACACTGAAAAGAACCGGCCCGTACAGATCCATGCGGCGTACATGGCCGTATCGGGCCGTTCCCGGGAAGGACAGGTGCAGCGTGTGATTGTACGCAGCAGCCTGTTCTTCCTTATGGGAGTATGCTGCCATACGCTCACCCGAACTTCTTCCATCTACATGCTCGGACGCAGATAGAATCCATCCTGTGCGTACGACTACAGACACCTGCACCCGTATGGATGTGCAGTTCGGGTGAGCGTACAGCTGCGTACGCCAATGGAGAAGAACAGGCTGCTGCGTATAATCACACACGGCACCTGTCCTTCCTGGGAGCGGCCCGATATGGCCGTGAACGCAGCACGGATCTGTACAGGCCGGCTCTTTTCAGTGTGCCTTCGACACAAAGGGAGGAATTAATGAAAACTGGAGCAGACAGAATCGGGAGCAGTTGCCAATGAAAACCAATCGGCTTCTCGTTTCAGTTTGTTCAGTTAAACTATGAAACTGGAAGACAGAAGCTGATTGGTTACTTTGAACAACTGGTTTTCCATTCTGCCAGCTCCAGTTTTGATAAAGCAAAACAAATGGCAAACGCACTCATCAATTCGTTACCAGCTCTACAGCAAGGTGCACATGGAAGGGCTTTAAACAGTAACATCTGTTTTGATAAAGTTCCCTCGGAGTCTTACTAGCATCATGATGAACCTTTAGGCTGGGTTCACACCTGGGCGTACCATAGGTGCATGTTTTTTAGCACGTTTTTTCGTTCAGTGAAATGCGCATTCGACGCTAGTTTTTATACCTCCCTGGTGGTATGGTTTTTTTTTTTTTCTTTTCGCTTTTTTTTTTTTCGGGGTTTTTTTTTTTTTTAAACTTTGAAACTTCCCGCCGGTCCCGCCCCCTGCGACGGGGTCGCTCGCAAGGGACGGAACCCGGAAGTCTGCAGCGGCTAGAGCACACAGCAAGGATCGCGGACAAGGTAAGTCCTACGCTGTGTTCCCGAGTATGGCTCGGGGTTACTGCTTTGTTAACCCTGAGCCACACTCGGGAATACCAATGAATACACACGGAAAAATGCCCCAAAGAAGCTCCTGCACTTGTTTGGGTGTAGCGTGCTTTTCAGTGCATTTCCATGGTCTGAAATACGCCCAGGTGGGAACCATCACCATAGGAAAGTATGGGATTTCACTGCGTTTTTCAGCGCTGAAAAACACCCAGATGTTAACCAGCACTTGGGTAATGGGTTTTGGCGAACTCCCTATCGGTTTGGATTTTATTTTTTTTATCACTTTTCAGTGAAGATCAGCTTTATGTAGCGTTTGGCTGTAGCTGTACCTCCTAAAATTCCTCCCATCTTATCTGTGGATGTGTTTGATATTACCAGTGAGTTTTGATAGACGGCTGCCTCTTAACAGGTTTGTGATGACGGCATATTCTTTCCATTTTATTTTTTTAACAATGGATTTAGTTTTCAGGATGGTAAGCTTGAATTTCATGATGCTTTTTAAGATTTGCTCTCTACCAAAAGCTGGGGCCTTCCAGAAATGGACTCTGATCAGTTGATTATAAAGGTGCCCATACACCTTACGATTATCGGACGAAACTTTTCGTATGCGCAGTGTTAATCGTACGACTTTTGACAGACTGAAACGCCACCAACCATGCGAACATCGTACGATCGACCAAAGTTTTCAAACATGCTTGACCGTCAAAAGTCGTACGATTGTACAGTGCTATCGGTCGGGCACTCTATTCACACGTTACGATTGTCGTACGAAAGTCGATCGCGTACGATTATCGTACGATAATCGTAAGGTGTATGTGCACCTTAAGTCTGCCGACAATCTTCTACCCCTCGTTTTCCATCCGTCGGTGAAGGGGTATCTTTTGATGTTTGCTGGCTGTGTAACTGAAGGAAGGGAACAGAATGGCCGTACAGCTGATTTGTGGGTATTCTCTTTTTGCTGGCAGGGAGCAAAGAGATCAATTTCTTACCCTGAGAGCAGCTAATACTGGACAGGTAGCTGTTGGGTACATGATGGCAAAGAGACCAATAATGGGCAGTGGTGCCAATTATTGCACCATACAGTGCTGTTCGAATTATTTGCCCTGTAGGTGATATGCTGACAGGCATTTCACTCATTGCCATATGTAAATATTCATCTCATTTGTAACCATAGAACCATTTTTGTTTTATCTATTGCCCCATATAGATGATGCTCTCCCAGTCATTGCACCATATAGGCATTATGCTTGCATATATTTGAAAGGAAGCAGTCCCCCTGACCTAATTCTGAGTGTAATTTGTAAGTGCTGCAACATCAATGAAGTTCAGTGCTCTTGACCTAATTTTTAGAAGGATGGACTTAGCCATTTTTTTCCCCCTCCGGATCGCATTTAAAGCAAAACTCCAAGAATAGTGGAGAAGACTCATTAATGACTAGGCTGAGTGCTGGGATTTACTTTGATTAATTAGACCTATCGGTACTATTGTAATTTCCTATTTTTCTGTTTGTGTTCCACAGAAAGCATGGTAACGCTGAGGGTTGCATTGCTATGTGGAGTATCATGTTTTGCACTCTTCACACTCTTGTTCCCACCATTCAGCATGAAGTAGTACCTTCTTGCTACTGCTTGACGCAAGAAACATGGTTTCACCTTGGGTAGTTCTTGCAACCGTCTACAGTGACCTGGTCACTTCCGACCATTCCTTCATTTAGCAGCTAGTTCATGAGTACCCCAGGTTTTAAAGTGTATCACCAAAGCAGGAGTAGGAGAGACTCTTCCAATAGAGATGCCTGTTTCCATGACTGCTTTCAAAGGTGCAATTTCCTCTTACCTTGGGGACATTTATTCTCACATCTTGTTGCTGTTTCCCTGGTAGGAAAGTGACTAGACATTTCTCCAGTGGCTCAGAGCTGCAAACCGTTGACAAAGGTTGTAATCCTTCTTCAGTCTCTCAAAATACAGGAGTGTTTGTTTTTTTCTGTTTGTTTGTTTTTGGCTAGAGAGTCGCATTAGGGCCCCATTCACACCAAGGCATCATCTTTTTTGCGCGTTTGTACGAGCAGGTTCAGCGTGTGGCTTGACACATTTTTACGTGCATGAAAATGTGTGTTTTGACTAGAAGCTCAAAAAAATGTGGTCAATGAACAAACGAGTACGAATGCGCAAAAACATGCATGAAAACGCACAACATGCTTCTGTCGTGCGTTTCCTGGCATTTTCATTGAAGTCAATTGTGAAAAACAAGCTTGAGAACTGCAAAAAAAAATCTTGCAGTCAGTATTCCTGTATTCTAATGCAACTTTTCCATGCTATGGAATATACTATCAAAATGTTATAGACCTCTTCCTTGCCATATTACATATATTTTTTTCAACCTATGCATCTACTGTAGGCACCATCCTTTTGGCCTCTTAAATACTCTGCTAGCTGCTTCATGTGGTTAGGCCACTTATCACCATGATATGCAATCTGTTTATTACCAGACATATCCTGGCTGATTGAAGAAATGAGAAACCTAACTTTTGCAGCTGAATTTATAGTTGTGATTTTCATATTACAAATTAGAGGTGCACCAAAATAGAAATTTAAAAAAAATTGTCAAACCGATACCGAAAATGTTTTTATTTTAATTTTTTCAAATTTTCTAATAAGGGGCTTTGGGGAAATATTAGGGGTCTATACAGACCCCTGATATTTCCCTTTTAAAATAGAAAAAGAGATTGAGAACAGTCTTCAATCTTTTTCTGCAGCCTCTGTTATAAATGAACAGGAATCCTCCGAGTGTTCCTAAACATTCATAACTTGAGAACATAGTGTGTTTACTATAACTACAATTATGAATGAACAGAAGTGGATATAGATCACTCCCATTTAATTCATAATTGAGGATATATTAACCATATCCTCAAATATCTACACTCGGCGATCACTGAACGCTGAGTGTTTGTAGCCTGCTCTCCTCTCTGACACGCACTGGCACAGGAGGCTGAGCGAGCGGTGCAAGAGGGGAGCGCAGCCTCCTGTGACAGCGCTGTCTCCACCCCCGCACCGCTCTGCCGCGCTGTGGTAGGCGACAGAGTGGTGTGGGAGGAGAGACGCCGGCCGCTCACAGGGCTCTCCTCACTCAGCACTCGGCCGGCTGTCACTTGCTCTCCTCCCTGCTGGGACACAGAGCAGCGCCCATCGGGGAGGAGAGAAACCTGGGATGTTCCGATGTATCGGCAGGAAAATGGCACTTTCGGCATTTAGCCAAAAGTGCAATTTTCGGCCGATATATCGGTGCATCCCTATTACAAATGTTAAACATTTGCATATATTTTCTTTTTTGTAGCTTTGTAAAGGAAGACATGACTTGGCTTTATCCAGGGATTCCCCCAGTGGTAGACACATTTTATTATTGAAATTTTGAGCCAAGCAGTCCATTATAGTAGCCAGCAGCCACTTTTAGGGCTCATTCACACGATGTTCAGATTCTGTCCAGACCACAACAGTTAGCTCCTGGACCAAAAAGCATCCCAATGTATCCCGATGTGATTTCTGGACTACACTTACCACCTTTGCAGTGATTTCCATTCCAGACCAAAAAAATACTGCATGTATTATTTTTTGTCTGAAGCACTGGAATGCCCATTTTAAGCTAAAAAAAAAAAGCAGCAAAATCGTGGTACAGTCTGGTCCAGACATGGTGTGAAACTAGCCTTAAAGGACGACCTAGCTTTTATAGAAAGATACTTTTGCTCCTTGCCCCGGACATATGGTTGCCTGAATTAGACACTGGTTTCAGGTATTTTTTTTCTTTCCTTTTGGCTGCGCATGCTCAGTAGCCCCCCACCGACCTCTATGGGGCTGTCTTGTGATACAGGAGGCACTCAGGAGATGTACAGTTTTATGAAACTATGGTTGAGCTGTAAAGCAAACCTGAAGGGGAATGTAGGTACCTAATACATTCTGACTGAACTTGGCACACACCTCCTAAGTGCTGGTATCTCGGGTACACTAAACATTATTGTGTACCTTGAATAACTGGGTTATCAGCATGGAAATTGTTCCCCTTGCTTACTTTTAAGCTTTTGGAAATAGGCACTCCCATTAAATAGTCTTGTAGGTTAAAAAAACATATTAGCTCTCCACAGTTTGTACTTCAAAAAAGTGTTAAATGTGAAGCCTAAGGTTGAGAAATGTACTATCTAATGTTGAAATGTCATCATCTTACCAGTTTATTGAAAGCCTGCTTTAAAATTTGGGGTCCACTGTCAAGCATATTCTGTTTCTTGTGTTTTATGCAGAACTGGAAAGGAAGGACAACCAAGAGAATACTATACCCTTGACTCCATCCTGTTCTTGCTCAATAATGTTCATCTTTCCCATCCTGTATATGTCAGACGTGCTGCGGTAAGTGCATAGCCAGTTTCCTGTGAATTTCCTACCCAATTATCACTGTTTAGAAGGAAAATAACATCACTGAGATTTACCATACCCTGTCCTACTGGAAATTTTAGTTTACACCAGCACTTGTTTTCATAAAGAATGTGCTATAGGGGCGCTGTCTGATGAAAAGTGTACTTTGCATCGGTAGGGTAAATTTCATTTCATGTAGGGTTCCTTCTGCAATGATGCGTCTTTGCTAGCTGCATGTTTGCTTCCTCTGTGTTAATAGCTTTGACTTCAGTAGCCATATAGTAGGGATGCACCAATATCAAGTATTTGGGCAAGTACTCTTACTCGCCCAAATGCTCCTGATACCAGAACATCCGGTATCAGGATGGCAGGCCGGAGAGTCATTACATGCCATCTGGCTTCCTGATTGGCCGTGAAGCCAACTCCAGGCTCCCACATCATCTGGGGGTGATTGTACCCATTCCCCACTCTACCAGGCTTGCCAGGGTGTTTTCCACTAGAGAAACTGAGGAATCTCCAGTCTCTTGTTCGTCTTTTGCCGTCTTACAGATCAGTGTTGTTTCATACCTGTATTCAGGTTCTGGCTCTGATAGTAGTCTCCTCCTAAGCGGTCCCTTTTGCACATCGCCACACTCTGATCCATCAGTATAAAGTTCTATCCGAATGGAACAAGCTCCCCTTGTCCCAGGATGGGGAGATTTAAAATGACACTAAACTCGGGCGTTAAATTGTGCTTGGAGCAGTGGCTACTTTACAACACACACAGGGACCATGGGGGAACAAAAGTAGCCACCCTCCAGAAGGAAGGACAGTGTCGGCACCAATTCAGAGATGACTGACACCAACAAAAATGATTCCTATTTGTGCATCAAATGGATATTAAAGTCAAAAGGATTCTAAGCTATTTCAAATGGTAAGGAAATCACTTACAATGGATGCTGCTTCTTGATGTTTAAAGGGTTTTTTTTTTTTTTTTTTTAAACTTTCCTGCAAAATCAGCTGGTTCCCCCCCCCACCCCCACCCCCAACACTGGTCCCGACATCCTGTTTTAGTGTGACTCCTTTTTCAAGCAGAGTGCTATGCAGTCACCCTTGTGTGTGTGTTAGTAAACAGTGTCTTCGCAGACACTGCAAATCAAGCTACTCCCCTCCCCCCTGGCTCCCTCTCCTCCCTTCAAAGCTAGTAGATAACAAGTTGCTGGAGTTGTTGAGTCCACTCTGTCCTTTTGATGTTGTACTGGACAGGAAGTTCAGGGAAGCAGAGCTGAGAGACTTGGAAGCAGATGTTCAGAAATATAACTAAGTATTTTGGGCAAAAAAGTAAAGCAATGCTTTGCTGGGCAATGTATTTTTGTTTGCTCTGGATTCCTTATTGAAGAAAAGTTTGAGAGTTTTTAATACTACTTTTAAGGTACTTGAATGCATTTTTAAGATTTAAATCCTGAGTTTAGTGTCACTTTAAGTAAGTTGAACAGCAATGGCATCGTTGGTGTGGTGGCTTCATTGCTCCTCTCTGGGAAGTCCTTTTCTTCCTCTTTGCCAGACTGGGGGTGAAGGTGTACTCCAGTCTTTATAGTTGGGGCAGAGTTCTGTTTCTTCTGTTGACTCTGGGTCACTGGACTTCGTAGTAATTATGACCGCTATCAATCTGTTTGATCTCAGAGCAGTCAGTCTGTCTCTGTTGCACTGGATGGTCACATGGGGTAGCACCCAGTCAGGTTACAATTGGACAGTGTCATGACTGTGCTCTAAATCAACCATTAGGGAGGCACAAGAAGCACTGCTGCTCAAATTCATCTGGCTCTCTGGTGTACATTCCCAGGCTGGACAGTTGGCTGGCGGACTACCTCAGCCACCAGTCATTGGATAGGTGGGATGGGTCCCTTCATCTGGAGATTTATAGCCTTCTTTCTCTGCTTTTGGAGGATGCCAGATGATGTGGATCTGCTGGCTTCTTGCTTTAATCGCAAGGTGGACCTGTTCATGTCCGGGACAAGCGATCTGTGGGCAGATGTGGCTGATGCTCTGGTGTCTACAATAGATCAGTACACTTCGATTTATGTGTGTTCCCCTATGATGCTCCTACTTCATAGAAACTTTAAAGGGATTCCATTAATTCTATTTGTGTCTGCTTGATAAGCAGGTATGTTTCATTTCAACACAGCCTCTCCCTGATGCCTTTCTTTTTGACCTGCTATTCTGTCTGGAGCTCATCTTCCACCCTGCCTTACTGACACTAATGAAGATATGTTTTTTTTTATGTGGTTCATTTTGTTCCCATTTTCTCTACTATCTGTACTAAAATTTGCTAAACACTCAATGGGAAAAACTGGAACATGGCTTCCATAAGGCATATTTATGGATGATAGCATTGTATCTGGAAATAATAGCTTACCCACGAAATCAGTAATATCGCTTGTGTTTTTATCCCCTCTATGGCAATAGTACAGTTTTAAGACTACATGGGAAAATCCTATTAGAAACGAAGAGTCTATTGGTGCCCAAATTGCTGCTTGGAAAAAACACATTAAAAGTGGATTTCTGTGGGATTCTTTTTAGCTGTAGTTGGTATTTAAACCTCTTCCTTTTTAATTTTTTCCCAGACTGAGAATATTCCTGTTGTCAGAAGACCTGATAGAAAGGAACTACTGGCCTACCTAAATGGAGAAACTTGTAAGTAGCAATATTTGGTAATTTTGTGTTCTAAAGGTTCTAACCTTTTGCCACTGTATATCCAAAACACCAAACCTGAGTAGTTTGTAAATGGGAAGTGTAATGTTGTATTTCTGCGCCTATTGTAAGGAGTTATTGTAGTTTTTATCACACAGCAATTTGTGTCACAATAATTGTGACTTTTACCGTTTTAAATGCTCGCTCTACCAAAGTTGTGTTCTTTTTTTTTTTTTTTTCACCCTTTGCATAAGAAATAATTTATAACTGCACTTTCACAAAATTTTGATACGTTTCTACTAGTCCCAGCAGGCTCTGAAAATCCAAAATGATGTTTTACGTTTACACAACCTCATTTTTGCTTCCAACCATACTGACTATAGCATCTTGGCTACAGGTACATCCTGCTGTGCTCTGGAAAATCTATTCCTGAAAAATTAGTTGCTTATTCATCGCAGAACAGATCTCCTGTCTACAAACAGCACTTCTCCCATTTTACAAACAGCACTCTCAAGAGGTAGCAGGAGTGACTTGTTTAATGCAAAGATTGCTGCTATTACATGGCCAGGCCATGCTCCTGGTACCAGCCCCTGTTGTCGCCATCTGAGGTGGAAGCGCAGGTGGTTTCTATAGCCTGCCAGTTTTCTTGCTTTTCATATTCACGTGCAAGTTTAAGGGTTTTCTCCCCAAAATGTGTCATATGTCTGTGAAGGTTCTCGTTCATCCAGGTCAAGGGCTTGACAAATTTGCTTTGAATCTGGGAGCCAGCAAAAAAGTTAGGAGCCTGGTTTAAAAAGAGGAAAAAAAACGAACAAAGCTTTATTTTCAATGCTAAGTTTTAATTGACGCACGTGTCGATACCTGATGTGTAGTGCAATCTTCATTTTTGTACATAGGTGCAAAAATTACCATCACATGGAGAAAGTTCTCCTTCAGGTCCAATTTTCTACTGAGGTGCGGGGGCACGGCACGGATTGGCATAGTACAGCAAAGCACAGTTGTGTGGATCGGCACGGAGGGGCATAGAACAGTGGAGCACAGAGAGGAACCGAACAGTGGGGCGCAGCTGGGCATAGGCACGGCATAGAAGAGCACAACAACATGGCTGGCGGGGAATGCAGCGTTACAGCAGTTTATAGCGGTCTATCCTCGCTACTGTGCGCCGGCTACAGTTGTCTGTATCCCGTCCGATCCCCGCTACCTCTGCAGATGCAGTGAAGATTGTAGGGATGCAGAATGCAGCGGCTTCGAGCAGGGAGAAGAATGAAGGAGTAGAGTTGATGCGGAAAAGGCGGCAGCCGGGGAGGTTAACGGGGCTGACAAAAACCCATTTGCCATGGCGACCTGGTGCCTGGGATTTGTCGAGCCTTGATCCAGGTCATGGTTATACCATCACCTGAATGAATAAGAACCTTCAGACATCTGAAAATCTATATGGTTTCTTCTTGACTGTTTAACTTTAAGTTTGCAGGCACTTAAGCAATAGAGCTATGTTACCAATCTTAGGGGGATGGATTAATGAAATTTGGAAGGAGAGGATCAGCCAGTCTGAATTCTCATGCTCCCCTTCAACAGAGAACTCTTCTAAAGGTCCTGGCTTTGAATGTGATCAGCATTGAAGCCTAAAGAAGTATTTTCTCAATGACAGTTCAGACTTTCCATCGACCTTTACTCACCCATCCCAGCAAGACTTACATAGGTTGAAAAAAAGACACATGTCCATCGAGTTCAACCTATAGAGATATGAAAAGGAAAAAAAACATTGTTTTAACATTTGACCATAGCTCCCTTTATGTACTTCAATCAGCTTGTGTATTTTGTTTTGTAGTCTGTTACGCTAACTCACAATTATGTTTGTGCTTCCCTAGCCACATCTGCCAGTATAGATAGAAGTGCACCCTTGGAAATTGGACTGCAGCGATCCACACAAGGTATGTATACAAGCAGTTTCCCTATATCTGAAAATATAGTAAATGGGGAAATGATGTTTAAAGTCATTCATTTGCTGTTCCAGTTAAAAGAGCTACAGAAGAAAGTTCGGCTGAGGCAAAGAAACCGAGGGTAGAGGTGAGTTTGTCCTTTTTTAAAAAAAAATGCTGTTTGGTAACTCTACAGAGCATGTCTTGCTTACCTGGTTGAGTAGCAGCTCTGCCATGCTAACTTTCCTTTGTAATACCTAACTGGAAAGGAGAGTTTGTCTCAACAAAGAACAGTTACATCTTTGTAGAATATCCATGTCCGCATGAAGAGCACTGGTTGCTAAATGAAAAAACTTGCTGTTTAATAAACTTTCATACTTTTTTTTTTTTTCCCAAGATAAAAAACCTCCATCGGGTTTAATGTGCTGCACTATTGGATTGTGCTGAGCGTGATATTTAACCAGTTGACATCCGTGGTGTTAAACCCCCTTCCCATCCAGGCCATTTTTCAGTATTCAGCGCTGCGGTACTTTGACTGACATTTATTCCGTCATGCAACGCTGTACTGAAATTAATTTTATACCCTTTTTTGGGGGCAGATAGAGCTTTCTTTTGGTGGTATTTAATCACCACTGGGGTTTTTATTTTTTACTATGTTAAGGAAAAATTACCGAAATTTATAAAAAAAAACCCAGTTTCCCCTATATTAAATGATAAAACATTTATTACCCAATTTTTTGGTAAAATATAAAAGACGGGGTCACGTCGGGTAAAAAGACACCAAACATGTCAAGCCTTAAAATTGCGTGCGCGAAACCTCAAAAAATAATACCCAAAATTGGCCATAGGCGACGCTTTAAAAGCTGTTACCGCTCATCAGTTTAGTGTTATCAGTGATTGATGGCCCTAAAATGATTGCTCTCACTGCGACGTTCGCGGCGATATGTAACATGTGTAGCGCAATTGT